CAGCTTTCCTGTGGTTCTGGATGATGTCCGTTTCGTCTTTTAGTTGTATTTTTGAAGTGGTTGTTCAATGCAGCAAACTCCAGTGTTTACCTATGCCGCCATCTTGGTTTCTCCCCACAATAACTGTTTTCTGTCTCTACAGTTTTGAGAGTGTTTGCTGCCTTGCCGACTCTCCTTCTCTCTCAGACATCACTTTTGATGGCAACCCCATAGCTCAGGAGCCATGGTACAAGCACACTGTTCTTCAGAACATGCTGCAGCTGCGCCAGCTGGATACAAGGAGAGTCACGGTGAGAGCTCCTCCAAGCACTTACAGTCTGTTCTCCTTAGTGTGCATGAGGAAATTGGGTTTTATATTCTCTGCTTGAAGTGCTTCTTAATTTTAATAAACTAGGGATAATCATAAATGTAATTATGGTATACTTCAAAATTGTAATTGTAGATATTTTTACCACTTTTCCCCTATTCCCAATGTCATTGAATAGGGCTTTTTAAATTTCTATCCTTCTATTTAACTTAATTATTATGCTTGTTTTTCATTTTTGCTTAATATCTAACTAATAATTTACTTTGTAATGGGTAAGAATTCCATCGGTAATGGTTAAGAACATAATGATTAAGAAAGCAAACTGTTTAAGTCTGAATCCTATTGTGACTATTTTCTATTTGTATACCTTCAGCAGTTTCCTTAACCTTTCTATACCTCATTTTCTCAAAGTAAAATGGTGGTCATAATTGTATTATGTTGTTAGTAAGGTAAAATGAGCCACTGAACAAACCTTAGAACAGGGTGAGGCTTCTAGGAGGTATCATACGGAGTTGTTTTTGATGCTGTACCTCTCCAAGTAATTATCTCTTTTCTTATTCATTCTACTCCACTCTACCTATTCTACTTACAGGTTTTGATATGGCTCCTCATCTGAGTGAAATGCTGCATATGATATCTTGTTTATTGGTATACAATGTACATTAGCATATTTTGGGCTCCAAGAAGTTCTGGAAGAAAGAAAGAAACTTGCCTTAATTCATTTCATTGCATCCCAAGTTAATTTTAATATTTTATTTTCTCAGAAAAGTCCTTTCAATAATCTCAGACCTAAGCTTCTACCTGTTTTCTTCTTACCGCTTCCAATATTAATGTGCATTTTGAGTGATCAGTTAAGTTTATTCAATTGCCAGTTGACTCATGTCCTGTATACAGCTTCACAATGTGTGCAGTTTACATGTCTATCTCAGCAGTATTATGGACAGATAAGATGGCTAGCACAGAGTTAAGTGTTAATGAATCATGAATACCAGGGGCCTGGTAGTTTCTGCCTCTCTCTTTGTTCCAGCATGGTTCTTTGTTCTCTCAGTTTGTTTAGATCTATACTGTCAACACTGTTTCATATTTTTACCCTGTCTACGTGTCTTTCTTAATTAGGCATCTTGGCTACTTCTCATTGTTCTTCCTGATGGAGTTGATATGAGTGGGTTAAGAGGTGAAGCTAACCCATTTATATAAATTAGTACTTAATTATGTACAGTAAATCCTTGATTTTGTGGACCTCAATTTAACAGACAGAATTTCTGGTCCATATGTCATAGGTGAAAATTAGCACCCTGTTAATTTTTTAATGCTTTTAACCAAGATTTGCTTATAATTAAACTAACAGGTTGTTTTCTGTTTTAATTCACTGTTATTTTTAACAAATTTTAGCAAATAGGCTGAATGTTGGAAAAAACCCCTGTAGTAATTTCACCAACATAAATAAATATTACATATCTACCACTGTAGTCTACAGCTCTTAAACAATGTTCAGGATATGATTAGCAATCACACCGAATTATGTAGACAAAACAGGTAATTGGTTCTGTTGTTGTGTGGCATGACTTTCTGTAGCAGTTTAACGCAGGCCAGCTGATATTCCGATGTGCACATGCCCCAGCTGTGTGCATTTGTTTACTCTCAGTGATTGGTGAATGCATGCATTAACTAGATCTATTCAGTTTAAATTTAAAATTACTGTAATACCTACAGAAAACTTTTCTGTGAAATTAAATTTTTCATACATACTTTAATTACACAAACATGTTTACACTAGAGGCCCAATGCATGAAATTCGTGCAAAAGTAGGCCTTCCTTCCCTTCAGCCACCGGCACACACCCAGGACTCTGGCTTCCTTCTGGCTCCTGGCAGGCACCCGGGACCCAGTCTTTCCTCCTCTGGCCACCGGCTAGCACCCAGGACCCAGGCTTCCCTCCGGCCCCTGCTTTGTCTGGAAGGACATCCTGAATGATGTCCGGTCTAATTAGCATATTATGTTTTTATTATTATAGACTAGAGGCTTGTTGCACTAAAAGATTTGTGAGATAGGCCTTCCCTTCCCCTGGCTGCCGGCACCGGTTTTCCTCCAGCACCCGGCACCCAGGCCTTTGCTCCGGCTGGAGGTGCCTCCAAGCCTCTCGCTGCTCCAGCAGCCGTAGGCGCCTCCAAGCCTCTTGCGGCTCTGGTGGCCGGAGGCGCCTCCAAACCTCTCATGTCTTCGGAGGCCAGAGGCGCCTTCAGCGGCTGGAGGCGCCTTGAAGCCTCTCGCAGTTCCGGCAGCCAGAGCCACCTTTAGTCTTGGCTCTGCCGCTTCGCACCATTTGCATTAACTGCCATCTTTGTTGGCGGTTAATTTGCATATCTCGCTGATTAGCCAATGGGAGGTGTAGCGAAGGTACAGTCAATTTCAATCTTTGTCTATTATTAGATAGGATAAGTGAAAATAGGTAAACCAACTAATCTGTCAATTTTTTAACATGTGCATTTGGAAAACCTACTTTATTATATAACAGACTTTAGGCTTTAATGGACACCCCCTCACCCAAATTAGTCCATTATATAAAGGTTTTACTGTATTGTGCTTCTTATAGTGAATTTATGTCAGTTTTGTCTACATAGCTAATGTCCATACAGAGCAGAAATCATTCTTCTTTTTCCTTGTCTAATACATACAAGTGTTCTGCACATGGTTCTTTTCTTCTCTATCTCACTCAATGCAGAAAATGTAATAATGTTCAATAAAGATTTGCTGGCTCAGTGATATTTACCCACTTCTATGCCTTAAATAAAGGAGAATAAACTGTATGTAGTCACTGTTCTTGTACAGTCCATAGAGTATGTTTGCCTGGTGAGAAAATGGGGGAAAATCACCTGGGGTGGGAGCAGGGCCAGATGTCCTGCTAAATACAGAGCAGCAGTCCTTCACATCTGCTCTTCCACTGTTCATTTTAGAAATTTAAAAAACTCTTACATGGAAACAATCTCAAAGTTACAGAGAATTTGTACATACAGTACAAGGAACTTTTTTTTCTTGTACTGTTGTCAGACATGGACCAGGACCAAGGCAGGTCTGCCAGGCCAGTCTGGAAATGGGTCCTTGCAAAGTTGCAGAAAAAGCATTTCGGGGACTCATGCATAGGAGGAGTTGAGGTTTAGTGGCAAGATTTATTGGAGAGGCATGTACAGCATAGATGCCCCTCCAGAAGCTGCTGTACTGCCTCAGTCATGACCAGGTGGGTCAGCTTCATCTCATTGTGGAAGAAGTGTAACCTATGGAGCCACACGTCCGCACTTGTCCTCACTTAGGAGAAGGGCCAGGACCCAGACCTGCCATGCCATTACCCTGGCATTCAAGGCTCTAATAGTCTAGCACAGTGGTTCTCAACCTTCTGGCCCTTTAAATACAGTTCCTCATGTTGTGACCCAACCATAAAATTATTTTTGTTGCTACTTCATAACTGTAATGTTGCTACTGTTATGAATCGTAATGTAAATATCTGATATGCAGGATGGTCTTAGGCGACCCCTGTGAAAGGGTCGTTCGACCACCAAAGGGGTCGCGATCCACAGGTTGAGAACCGCTGGTCTAGCACCAGCAAGGCAGTGTGTGTCTCGGGCCTTTGTTCAGCTCTGGTTATATTTTCTTGGGCTTGAGAGAGAGCAGGCTTTTTTTCAAACACTCCAATCTTGTTCCTAATTCTTCTCTGGCTTGTGCTGGGCCCTCCCCCCTAGCCATTCCCTTTCCTTAATCACCCAGGTTTCCATACCCTTATCCTACCCTGTCCTTTTCCCAAATTTTCCCAGGCTAGGATCGTCTCCTTTATGGTGGCCATTCTGGCTCCTACTGCAAATGCCTCATAGTTTTGCCTCATCATCTGGCTTCTGTGCATGCCTCAGGAGGAGAATTTCCCCCTCTCTGTTTCACCCCTTTCCCTGGTTTAATCTGTAGGAAGGGGCTGGTACTTCCCTGGGAGATTGGAAAGCTGGCTCTTCCTCCTACTCAGGGGGAAGAAGGGATGTTAATTCCCTTGGCAGGGCAGTTTGGCTATCCCCTGCGTCTGGAAGCCGAAGACTCTTAGTTAATCCAACTTAATTAGATGGCTGGCTCCCTTCTCTTTTGTTAATATCTTACTAGCCGCCTACTATAACAGAACCACTTGAGAGTAAGTTGCTGACTTGATTCCTCAACAACCCTGAACAGATTAGTGTGTATTTCCTATAAGCAAAGACATTCTCCTGTGTAAACACAATATAACTAATGAAGTCAGGAAATGAATATTGAATAATTACTAGGGTCGAATTCTCACACCACTTTCAATTTTAGCAATCATATCAACAATATTTGGTATAGCAAAATGATCCAGTTTGGAATTATTCATTTGTGGGGGCTAAAAAATATTAACACTTTTCCTTCTTCTGGCTGGGCCAATAACCAAACAGATACAGATTAACAGTAGAATATGAAAGTTTAATATATGTGCATAGGGAATTTACATAGGCATGAGAATTACATGAAAATTCCAAAGACAGTGAGGCAACATTGGATATATAAAACATTTTTGGACAAAGGAGAAGGGGATGGGGTGAGGGTGGGGGGACAGGGAATTATATTTCAGAAATAAGAATGGATGATTTACAGGTAGTTGAGGAGGAGGGAACACACTTGGCAGAAGAATCCTAGCCAGGAGATTCAGAAACAGTGGGACACACGGTATCCACCTGCCTGAAGCCCTCTTATTTACCGTACTTCAAATTAGGCAGCATACTGAGCTGTCCTTCCTGAAACAGGTTTCTCTATCTGAATATCTTGAGTAGGAAAGGGGGAGGGTCAAAGGTTCTTTCTGAATCTTTTGTTTCTTAATAAACACCTTAAATTCAATACATTGGAAAGCAGCTTTGGGGTGGCGGAATTGGGTCCCTTCACATTACATGTAGATGCATTTTATTGTCATGTCTGTTTTTCAGGCACAGTTCCTCAATTC